AGTTTGCTAATGACAGAATTTAATGTAGTATTTTACCTTTTCGTTAGTTAAGTAATCAGTATGCCAGATCAATTATAAAAATTGTCGATACATTCAATTCGGAAAACGAAAAATTTATTTCAATAGATTATACATTTTTTATATTTATTGATGAATACTGGCATAAGATTTTCACATTTTCGGTAATCTAACAAACGCTTGTACATTATTATAGTTTTTATAATAATAACAATTATTATTATGATAATCGCACCAATAAGAACAGCAATATCAGCAATAATAATAAGTCATGATACATAATAGTTAATTTAGCGAAAAAAGTTAAGCATTTTTTTATAAAAAGAAAAATGCTAATCGGTAAATGCTACTTTATCTTTAAATATAACAATTTTACTCCTATTGGATTATTAATTTGCATGAGCTTGATGGAGTATGGAGTATCGCTGTGAACGATATCGAGCACTGCAAATACTCAAGTACCATTTCCTTGGCGTGCTGCAGGAGCTAGTAATTTTTCATCGATCCCTTTCCTTCACCTCGACCGCCAGCCTACTTGTCGATACAATTGCGTGACCAATAATTAAGAAAAAAAAGAAAAAGAAAAAGAAGATAAAAAAGCGACAACAAAAAATAATTCAAGTGCCGGTCGATGCACACATGGGCTACGTAAGTGTGTACGGACGATTTTCACTCGCCACTCTGAACATTGCGCCCTTCCCCGGCTCCGCATGCGAAAAGGGTGATTGTAGTGTACATAGTACCGTTCACCCGGTTACTAATAACCCCGGAAAATCAAGTGCCATGTCTATTATACTCACGTGCAGTAAATTTGCGGCCTCTGTTGCGGCCGTCGCTATCGTCGCTATTGCCGTCGTCGTAGTCGCCGCTGCCGTTGCCGTAGCCGTTGTTGTCGCCGTCGTTATTAGCGTTGTCCCCGTTATTGCTGTTGTTGTTATTGTTGTCGTCGTCGTCGCCGTCGCCGTCGTCGTCGTCGACGAGCATGCAGCCGCGATTTGATTTCTGTTCTCTATGACTGTCTTTATTTGCTCGAGCACCTGCCAATGAATGGACAATTGTACGGGTCGCCGCACACCGACTTAACGTAACGTGCGATTGTGAAGCAAATGGTAACTTACCCGCAAGGATATTCGATGCCTCTGAGAGCTATGAGACTCCTTGTGATCCGTTTCGTTGCTACTCGCCTTGACTGGCCGTCTCTGCATCGTAAAATAACATCGAGGATACCTTATTAATACACGGTGCGTGTTTTTGTTGTTGCGATGTGCATCGGGCACATGGCCATCTTTTCTCCGCAATGATTCGCTTGATATAACGTCACAATGATTCATTCGATACATTTACTTATTGCTATTAAATTATTAAAGCTTTCGTTACTTTTATAAATTACCACATTCTATATATACACACCGTTTATATATACAGAATATTCACGTATATGATTAAATATATGTATATACAGGCACTCGTACACGCGTAATCTGTCGAACATTTTTCATGCCTTATAGTTAAATATTACAAAGTGACGTACCAATTAGTTTTTTAATCAGCCATTATTTTACAATAATGTAATAAAATATAAAAGGCATTGTATCGAGATATTGATCGCGCGTTCCTCGCGATGATCATAATATTTTGACCATTATCGCGGACCTTTCTCATTCTTATTAAATGTCCTACTCACATTTTATCTTATTTATTAATTTTTTATTTATAAAAAAAATTTTTAACTTTAAATAAATTTTTTCAGACTCTCCAGACGTGCTTTCGATGATTAAATTGCAGTCCAATACGTGCCCGATGAATTATTTATTTAACGTACTACAAAATTAAATTACAGTTATTTTATATTATGTAATAACAGTGCAACCGAAGTGTTTCCCCCCGCCCGCCCTCCCACTTCCTAATACATCTATTAGGAGTCAGTGGTCAATGCTAAGCGAACGGAATTCTTGTCAAATCCGTGCGATACGCGACATTTTCTCTTTTTCTTTCATTTTACTTTCCCATAGCATCTCGGTCCCATTATTCAATCTCAGTCTTCAAGATGCTCATCTCGCCCTTGTAAAGTAAGCGATATCTCTTCACCTTCGACCCTTAACTGACCAAGGCGACCAACGTCGATCGATGCTGTGCATCGGTCCTCGGTGCAATTCACATAGCGAACGAGGAGGCGATTAATAAAAAAGGATGCGCGCCTCGAAAGGAAAACGCGAGAGGCGCGGGAACAGAGGGGACAGCGTAGCGAGACTCCTTTCTTCGTTTATGAGGACGGAACGGACTTTTCCCGGCTCGCTTAATTGCTCGTGCGGAGCCAATTTGTGCGGCTACCTGGGGAACTGGAGAAGGAATTGTTTGCTCGTAGGGCGGGCGAGCCGTCGATGAGCACATTTGGCTCGACGCGCGATTGGATTATCTCGAGGAGGAGATTTCCTTGGCGGCGGCCCAGAGGTTCGATGTTGCGAAATTTTTATCGTCGCGTCGATAAGGGCATTGATAAGCGCTTGGCAGAGTGACATGTAAATAACCTGTCGTTTCTTTTGGAATCGAGACTGAAGATTTGCAGCAAGTGCTTGTAAGATTGCTGAATGCCTTACAATTATTATCCCGTCGCCTTTATACGTCATTGTGATTGTGACACTGTTTGGGTGATAAAAGATCTATCGCGTCTCTTTTACCGATGATAATGCAAATGCGTGGCAATGTGTACTTTGTGCGACCAAGTGGGAAATTATTATTATTAATCATCGGGCCTTGTATCGTTTAATTTATAAATTATTATATTTAGTCGGTAGCAATCGTTATTAATGATATTAGTAGGGACGTCGATAAGGAAAATTTTATTATCTTTATTAACTTTATTATTAGCGTTGACTAAAAGAGCAGCCACGCTTATTTAACTGGGCCGATCCCAGTCGTATCTCGTATCTCAGTAACATCGTAGAGCGAGTGAAGTAAATTTTCCATCCTCTCATGTCCCTTTCTTCGTCACACACACACACACACACACACACACACACACACACACACACATATATATATATATATATATATATAATAAGTATAATCAACTTTTCTAAAACAATGCATTCATACTCTCTCTCTATCTCTCTTTCTATCACTCTCTCGACTCACGTCTCAAAGACGTGCTCGGGTCGATGCGTCGCGACGTAAAAGCCACAAGAGAATCGAGAGACGAGTGGTGTAAGCTGATTGGAAAGAAAAGCATCTTTTTCACTCTCTCTCTCTCTCTCTCTCTCTCTCTCTCTCTTTCTCTCTCTCGACTCGAGACGAAGGAGTCGGGACGCTAATGTCAACGGAGTCAACGGAGAAACGAGAGGGAAACGTAAGAAGAGCCATGGCTGCAATGAAAGAATTGCGTCGAGTGTCCCGCGAGCCCTCGAGGCCCGTGTATCCGCCCGTCTATCCTATCGAAGCGCCGCCCACCCAGTAATTATACCTGGGGCAAATCCGATTAGAAAGCGCGCGTCCGGGTGAGCCGCTTAAATCGGCGTCTGCCGAAGGTCATGCGAGTCGTGCTGCAATAGGATTAAGGAGACGTCGAGTGCGCGTGCCTCGTGCCCTCGGTGCACGATGCATCCGAGTTTACCTCGCATTAATATACTGACCTCGAGACTTCCGTGGGCGTCGAGGGAGGAGGAGAGCGGCCGTGTCTGGGGCGCCTCCCCCGGGAAGACGCTGTCGTGCGAGACGGAGAGCTGACCGCCGCCGACGCCAACGCCGCCGCAACTTCCGCGCTGCAGGTTGAGGAAGGAATCCTCGATGCCCCTGCGCTGCAAAAAGAGACTGGCGTGCGCCGAGTATTAGAGAATAATTTATAGATTATGCGTGTGACCGACAGGACGTCGGCGGAAGAGTCATGGGGTTGAATGGGGAGGACTACCGAGCACCGTCGCCCCCTCGGCTGCTCATTCGTCATTAGGCAATACGATGGAGGTGTAAGGAGATGGAGGCGGGAACTCGAGCTCTTCCTGCGAACGCCAAGCCGTCAAGTTGGCTTGGATTATCCGGTTAGTTACTTTTCAAGTGGCTCCCGTGGTATGAAAAGTTAACGACACGATAATGTTCGCGGTGCCGTTAAACGCTCGAGCTCGCTTAGTCTTAGGGAGTGCGATCCGCTAGAAGGACGATGATTCATGCGGGCTTTAGTCGCCAATTTTTGGCGAAGCCCGTCGCTTGCAAAGTCCCGGTCGAATGAAGGGATCGGGAGTAGGGGCCGAGATCGATTATTAATATCGCAACATCGGAGCTCCGACTTGGCGATTAATTGAAATAAAACATTTTATTCTCACTCTACTTTAGCGTATATTTAGTTTTGTGCATTGAAAAATTTTATAATTGTCTTTGTTTGAATGTAATTTTGTCCATTTTCCTTCCTTCTCTTCTTATTCCTCTTATTATTATTATCATCATCATCATCATCATCATCATCATCATCATCATCATCATCATCATCATCATTAATGATTAATTATTATTATTGTTGTTATTATTATTATTGAAAAAAACCAAGTCCTTTCTATCGATAAAATGTACCGCGCCCTTCTAGCGATCGATAGCATTTTTCATTCGAATCTGTAATGGGTTTGACTTTTGTACATAATCGATTTCTCGTTGTCCATCCCCTTCCCACCAAAGGAGCGACCGACTCAGCCATCGATTCACCTGTACTTATCCACTCACCATCCATGTAGAAATCAATTAATCCGATGTCGGCCCGAGATTAAAGTACTCGTGAATCTATCTTTCGTCGATGAATGTTCTCTTCCAAACTCAAAGCGAATGCCAATCTTCTCGCAGCCAATACAAGTGTGTAAGAGAGCGAGATGCGAGTATTTAAAGCGAGGGTCCAAGGTAGTTTAAGGAATTTATCGAGCCACGTGTGAATAATAGGGGCGGGGAGGTAGGGGGGGGGAGCGTGAGATGAGTTTGAGAATGTCGGGGCATCGACAGGGAAGTACTCACTGGTCGCGGTCGCACGAGTCCGTGAGAAGTTCGCTTGCGCTTCTGCTGCGGATCTCCTCGGCGCGTCCCGCCGGATCACGGATGGTGATCTCCTCCCGGTCGCGCACGTGCTCGCCATTCGTCTCCCGATCAGCAGCGGTTCCAGGACCACCGAGGCGCGCGTCCGCTGCCCCACGGCTCTTCTTCCGGAAGATGCGTCGCAGTCCGCGCAGCGGATGGAAGCGTCGCTTCTTCGGCTCTGCTGGGCACAAAAATCAAAGAGGGTTGGCATATTATTATTAGTGTTTTGGATAATATTGGCGGGGACGTTGAAGCCTAAATTTTTACGCCAATTTCTTACTCTTAGTTAGATAAAATCGAAATTAGCGATTATTTCGTTCGAGTGGTGACGACTAAAGTACTTGGAGATATAAGAGGGGGATTGCTATTTTCGAAGTAATGGAATGATCAGATCGCTTATAACTATTGTACGAGTTTAAGATCAATACTACTCGATAGGGTGGGTCGTTAATAAGGTGTAGCGGTAATGTTCTATCGATAATGTGATAATTCATATTTATCTTTGAATGCTGTGTTTGGGGAATCATAGTTCTCGTTAGAAATCACGACGGAAAAGTGGACTTTCCCTTTTTATAATAATTAAAAAAAAAAAAAAAAAAAAAAAAAAAAAAAAGAAGAAGAAGAAAAAGATAGTTTTACGGTAAACGAAAATCTCTCTAATCTACAAAGACAAATAGAAAATTACGTAAAAGTGACAAGTCAATGGCCTAAGAAACAAGTAAAAACATCTCGAATGATGGAGACATAGGGTAGGTGAAAGGGCACAAGAGGTGTTTGCTAATCTTCTTTTCGCAAGCGAATTCCGTTCTTTGGGCCAGGATCGGTGGGATGCTATTCGGCTACGTCGTCCCCGGCGTTCGTTAGCGCCTTGGTGACGTTGAATTGTCAATGCGGTGAGGGCAGCATTAAAAAACAAGTGCTACTTGACTGAAAATCGTAAGGTAGAGCTCCGGAAAAATAGGCAAAGGAGTCGTACGGAACTCCAAAGGTGCAAGCACTTTTCCTTGCTCGTGATACGAAAACGAGGCTTACTTTCATTCGCTCGAGCTTACGGTTTTTATGCTCAGCTCGCAAGCGCAAGTGAAGTGAAGCGACGACATGTTTTGTCGCTTAACCGACAATTTTTCTCACATTACGTCGCTGGCTAAGTCGAAGTTGGCTTGGAAACTACTTGCCTCAACATGCTTGTTGCGTATAGACAGGTCGAGCGGCATTTCGTCGCGAACGAATAATTTCTAATAAGTCCATCGCTATTGGTTTATGACGAATTAAGCCTCGCTAATCTATTCGCTAAGTAAAGCTTATTAGTGGTAGAGAATTCAATTTAGTGCACGAAAACTCGGCTCTTCATTTTATTGACAAAATATTTGTTTTAAAAAGTGCTCGAGAGCTTAACCGATGAGAGAGAAAAAAGAGCGTTATATATTTTACTCACGAGTTTTATTATGCTTTGAGCAAAATAAAATTGTCTTGGAATGTTAAAAATTTTACCTATAAATTCTGATATAAACGTGGCATTACTCGCTCTACGAAATGCTCCCGTATGAATAATTTATTATTGATATAATAAAGAGAAATAGCAATTGTATGCTTAGTTGAACGTATTGCGCGAATATTAAAAATAATAATGCCAGAGAGGAAAGGATAAAATTTTTTTTAAAGATCTCTCCAGCCTTGCACGCATGCACAAATAAATAGTCAGGATTATTAAATTTTCATAATTCAATATCCATTTAATGCTCACTTACATAGAACTTGATATATCTTTATAATTATAAAATGTATTCCTCTTTAACCTTATAGAGTTATTATGGAGTCTTGTCCCTCTTCTAGGATTGTAAATTATTCAAATGTATTCACAAATATCTACTATTATGCTGATGTTAAAGCTTAGTGCCGAGTATACCGAATGAATGCCTTGAACTGAAATAGTAGCGTACTCTTTCGGTAATTCAAAATAATCATTAATCAAGTATTTAGGCTCGATCACTTAAATAATAAGAAAAATGGCCGAACCCGCTGGAACGTACGGAGAAGAGTTTTTTTTATTTTTTTATTTTTTTTTTATTTTAAACGTTCATACTTTGTGCGATACTCATTATTTATACATCAGAGATAGGAACATTAACACAAGCGCACTCAACGTACACATTTTGAAAATGCGGTTGTCATCTACGCGAATCGCGTACATTGTATCCGGAAATTTACATAACACTGCCAAGGCAAAAATATATTCAAGAAGCACATTAAGCTTTCGATTAACAAAAGTAGATTAATGTATAAAAGGCAAACATAAATCAGCGTATCGGATTAACGTGTGTGTTCCTTTAGTAAAACGCCGTTCGTAGTTCATAGTTATAGGGATGACGAATGCCATAAAGTAGCGCTTTCGTTTAATGTAACGAAGGAAAGTACAAATGCCAATTACCTCGCTCATCGGCTACGCTATTACAGATTTCCGAAAATAAAGCCCCGGGTCCCCGTCAAAGAAACGAAAGACGAATAAAGATTTATCAATCTTGTTTGCTCGAGAAGGCATATGGAAGTTCGTTACAGTTTGTAAGGAGGGGAGTGGTGGTGGTGAGAGGGATGGCGGTAAAAAAAAAAAACAAAAAAAAAAAACAAACAAGGGAGATGTGCACGATCAGGAGTATCGGTACATACGTGCGGGCAACCTGCGCGCACGAACCAACACAGGCGCACTTGACCTATGAGAATTGAAACGAGCGGTGCCGTGATGTGAAAGAGGTCCGACTGACGAAGACGCAAGTTGAAATAGCGTATGGCGATATCTTTACTTTATCGCGCGAATCGCGTATGGAGAGTTTGACGATTCGGCTACGCACGAATTATTTATGCATTACCGATCGTGCTTCCATTCCTTTTCAATTACCTATTCAATTTTAATCAACGCGCCAAGCGCGATCTACGAGCTGTAGAAACGTCGCCGAAGATGCGATGATAAAGGCAACGAATGCTTACTGATAGATGGCAGTACATATCGTTTGCGCACAAAGGATTTATTTTGTTCGTCGTTGTATTCTTCGTGGGTAGATGTTGTCGAATGATAATCGAAATGACTCGATGATCTTGTCGATCCTGTAGATGAATAAATGAAAAAGGGGGACCACCGTATTGGCTAGGTCTAGGAGTTTAGGTTTTTTTTTTTTTTTTTTTTTTTTTTTTTTTTTTTTGTTCAATGTGTTATTTGCGAGAAGGAGTGTGAGCGCGTGAAAGCGTATAGCGCGAGTAAAAGTACGGTTAGACAGAGTATTTTTTAAATATAAATTTCTTAACGTTTCGTAGCTTTTACAAATGGCAATGGCATTTTTGCAAGAAATAAATAGCTACGTACCATTAAATAACAATTTTTTTGTTTCAATAATAATAATATGTACGAGGAGCGAAATAAGTGTATAGGTCGTATTTTTATAGATCATTCAATTTTCCATCTACGGTTAAAATTTCAAGCAAGTCCGCAAAGATTTTTCTCCGCGTACGTGGTACTCCGTTTAAGAAAGTAATTTTGAAAAAAGGGATATAAATTTCGAAGAATTTCAACAAAAATACTCGGATGCTGGAGTAAAGTGCCCGTGTGTGTGTAATATAAAATTCAAAATATAAAATAGGTTTTCCCGTCTATGGCTGATAAAGTATCGTATGTTGAATAATAGACACTCGAGATACTCTTTTAAGCCTGGCAAGTCCGATTTTATGAAAATCTTATGTGTAATATTTTACAGCAGTGGTAAGCTTCCCTTAATCTAGGGAATAACCAAGCCTCTCATACTCTTAAAAGCATCTTATTTCAATATAATTTCGTTTTTTAAATTGCTCTCGCAAGCTCCACTGACTAGGCAACATAAATCCATAAAGTTCTCTGATCTTTTGTATGTTTAGTTATTGTACTAAACGAGATGTACTAAAAGAGATTTCGATTTCAAAGAGGAATAATCTTAATAAAATACTGGGCTTAATTCCTGTTTGAAGTAGAATTACTCCTACCGTTGAAAGCCCCTCATCTCACCGATTGATCATGCCTCGACTCAACTGAGATCAGCCTCTTATAGAGATATCAAATTCGCCAACGAGGAAGCAATACTTTTAGCTCCCAAAGACGAGCTTTCTCTCTATTAAAACGGCTATTATACTTTTAACCATTCGGCTGACCAAAGTAGCAGACATTCGCTCGCGCGTCCATTAAAAATTCTTCCGACCATTATAAATCATGCTTGCGCAATACATAAATAATAAATAAAAAGACAAAAATGAAAAAGAAATAATAAAAAGAGAGACCCAACTAGTAACAGAATATATAGAAGCCATCGATATTCGACGTTTCAATCGTTTCGTATTCCCATGAAAAAGACTTCCCTTAATGGTCGAAATGCAAAAAGGAGCTAGTCCAGGCTTATGTCTGGCTGGTGACGTCATTTCCCGTCTGCGAAAACGAGAGTCTCGGGGATATCGCGTTCGCGAACCTTGTCGACGAAAATAGGGGAGTGACGCCGTGTATTTTTATATACACGGGACGACGATTAAAACGCATTGACAAGGCTGCGGGCGCAGGCCTGATTCACTCCTGTCTCCAAGCAGTAGCTGTATTTCGCCGCTCCTTTCTCTCGTGGCCCTATTGTTTCTCTCTCTCTCTCTCTCTCTCTCTCTCTCTCTCTCTCTCGTTTATTCTCTCTTGTTTGAAAAGGGTGGATGATGGCTAGACCTATGGGAATAACGAGCCTGGATTTACGTGCTTTCATTTGCTTCTGTTTGCTTCTTACGTGCCGTCATTTTCAGCTGGGAATACGATAAAACAAAAACAATACAAGAGAATCATAAGTCGCTCTTATCATCGCTCGTATTGAAAATATTCATTAGGATTTTTATGATATTAGTGAGCTTGGCCGACTTTTTAATTTTCTTACAAACTCGTTTTAAATAACAACTAAGAGATTCATCGTTACCTAACCTTCATTATACTTATTTCAAATAATTCTTTGCAAGCTTCGAGAGCAGAAGTTTACAATGATTTTATTGATCGTCATTTTAACATTCGATATCTTATCACGATTGAGTACGAATATTTCCGTCGAAATGACTAATTATTCATGCTGACGATCATTTTGAAATCTTTGAATTATTCAATAAATCTAATTTTACCTCACCATACATACCGTACTTTAT